ATAAGTTTGGGTATTACCTCACAGATGGAATATATCCATCATATTCCACGTTTATGAAGGCGTTTCGACACCCGATAGAACCAAGAGACAAATTTTTCAAGAGAATACAATAAGGAGCATGTAAGGACGTGGAACGTGCTTTCGGAGTTCTGAAAACAAAATGACACATAGTTGAACATGTGGCACGACCATATCACTTTGACACTCTACGAGATATTATGTATGCATGTATCATAATGCATAACATGGTGATTGAAGATAAAGGACGAAACATTACGAAGTATTCACCTACGCAACCTAGACATATTATATTTCAACCAGGGATAACAAAATACTTACATAGAGTCATTGATATTCAAGAACAACGAAAACACAAGCAACTTTTAGAAGACTTGGCAGATCATATCTATAATGGTAACGAAGATGAATAATTTAGGGGAAAATGTAATTTTTCTCATATTTTATTGTTTTTTAGGGTTTTAAATGTCTTTGTCCTTTGTTGTAATTTTTTTTAATGTTATTTTTAATTTATGATATATTAAAATTTTATTTTTAGTTTTTAAATGTTATTTTTAATTTATGATTTAATTTATATGATAATTATAAATATTATGACATAAATAAAAAAAACAAATGGGACAAATAGAAATTAAAAAACATCAAAAAAGAAATATGGAAAATAAGGGGTGTTATCAAATGTTATTTGGTGTTATCAAATGTTATTTTCACACTGGGTGTTATAACACCAAAGTATGAATAGGATAATGATGTGACACATTTTGGGTGTGATAACATATTGTCCACATCCAGTAGCCTAATAAATTTTCATCGGGTATTTGTCCCCCTTTGGCATGGATAAGAAATATATACCAATCGGGTTTGGTTGATCGTAATATTTTTTGTTTATTTTTTCATGATTATTTATATACAATACATAGCCGATGTGGGACTATCCCACTTGGTAGAGGCTTTGTCTCCTAGATTGGGGGTCTCGAGTTTTAATCTAGGCGTTGACGATTTCATGATACTAACTTCTAACCACAAACCCGCGGTTATATATATATATATATATATATATATATATATATATATATATATATATATATATATATATATATATATATATATATATATATATATATATATATATATTGGTCAATCGTTTAGTACAACTAAGCTAAAAGGGCATTATTTTGGTATCTCGCCCTGGGCATTAAAACTCATTGGACCGGCCCTAAACACGATACATAAACAAGATCGAACAAAACCAAGTTAAACAAGACTAAATTTCTATACTAAAACTCTAAATTTTAATTTCACCCAAAAAAACACAAATTTGAATAAGTAAGACTATACTAAAATACCCTCAAGTTACAAACCCACTAGTTTTTTGAAAAACATTAATAATAATCCAACCTATATTATATTCCTTATCATCCTTTTTTAAAAGTTAACCCAAATCATCAACCTACAAGACATTATAGACTTATATTACATAATTGTTATTGTTTGTAATATAAGAATATTGCAAACTATTAAATAACAATAAAATCTTTGATTTAATATAAATTATGTTTCACAACGAATAAAATATTTGGACGCAAAATATGACAGGGAATCCTATCTCAGAAGCAACCTCCAATACTTCCAAAATTGCATCATAATATATATATATATATATATATATATATATATATATATATATATATATATATATATAGAGAGAGAGAGAGAGATTCAATCCATATCACCAAAAGTTTGAAAACATGAAAAGAAAAAATAGTTAGTTGTTTAATAATTACTGACTGAGTTAATACTTGACTGAATTTGAAGCTCTGACTGTATCTCTCTGCCTCTGTCTCCGACTAAAACTATATTGTTTGATTACGCATTCACTGTTTGTACTAACTACTAAAAATGACCATATATGTTTGACTTTTAAATAAATCTTTAACTTTGGAATATTATTCCACTTAATAATTTCAATTTTACACAAATCTTTAACACTTGAATGTTACAAACAGTGTAGATGAATCCTATACTACCCTAAAACTACACATCTTCTGTATATACCAAATGAATTGGAGCACTACCATCTTCAATTAGTCTTTTAATTTCTTCACAAACCATTCGTCATAAGGATGTCAAAAAGTCCTGTGGGACCCCGATCCTGTGGGGTCCCCGTCCCGTTTGGGGGTATTTTTTGAAAAAAAAATCGGGGACGGGAGCGGGGGCGGGGGCATGGTTAACCCCTGTTTTAATTTCGGGGGTGGGGGCGGGGGTTGGCAGTCCCGTCCCGAAACCCCTATGGGGGCCCCATTAATAAATTATATATATTTACATATATTAATTATATAAATATAATAAAAAATAGAATGATTTTTACGTACTAAAATTCAACCAAAACATGTTTTAAAGATGTCTATAACATGTAAAATTATGCTATAAATAACTATTTGTTACCCAAAAAATAGTTTCTTTTATCCTAAACAAAAACTTCTTTTTAGCCCAAATAAGGTAGCTCAAAATCAATCGGGGACGGGGGAAAGGGGGCGGGGGTGGAAAGGGTGGAGATTTCGGGGGCGGGGGCGGGGGCGGGGGCGGGGGATGCAATCTCCGTCCCGTTTGCCCCCGTTGACATCCCTAATTCGTCATCCAACAAAAAAAGAATTTTGCAATGTAATGAAGTATGAGTAAATAAAGAGTAATTAATTTATCCGATAATCATATGATATAATTTTTTTTATTGATATTTTTTAAATACAGATTTATTTTTAAAATTTTCAAAAACTAATAAAATTGTCATTTAATATGATTTTTCTGTAAAAAAAAAGTTTTTTCTTTCTTTTCTTTTTTTTTTTGTTTTTATCAATCAAATATCATAAAAATTAAAAAACAAAAAACAAAAAAAAAAAAAACAAAATTCATTCCATCTGAATATTTATAATCTATGAATAAAACACATTTATGGTTAGATATGGTTGTAATCCAAAATGAATAAAACACAACTTAGAAATAAATTTGTGTGTATTATATACACACACACCCCAAGTTGGTACGTAAAACCATAAGTACCAACCACCTAGGAGGTTCAATAGTTATCCTTAATATGCATGTTTTGGGAAACCATAATGACCAACCGTGTAATTATGTTTATATAGAAAACTTGGTCTTCATGTTCGAACTTTAGTTTTAGTCTGGTGCTTGCGATTCCATCTTTAAGTCAAGTTTGAAGTATGGCAGTAAAGGATTGAACTTATGAGCATAAACATAAAAATGATAAGAGAGGTGGCACCATACTCGTAACCAATTAACCACAACCATGGGTTTTTAGCCTTTGGTTCGCAAATAAAAGTGTGTTGAAAAGTAGAGGAAGGTGTGGTTAATTTCTACCATGGATGGGAGCTAATTGCGACAACTTTTAAGGTGGGGGAGGTGGGCACCACAGCTAGCTCAACCTCATTGTGGTGTTCACCCCTTACACACCCCACAACCTAACACCTCTCAAATCTATGAATGTTTTTCAATATAAATCTTAAATAAATAAAATTTGATCTACATAAACATATATTAATCCTCCTAAAGTTAGAACGGTGTCTAAAACCTCTATGTCCGTTACCAACTACAATTCATAATCCAATACAAAATAAATGTCTAGTTATAAACATCACCGAATTATATCCTTCAATGTTTTCATCAACATCAAAAATATCTCATAACTCTTCAAGCTAAGTTCATCATATCTTACCTCACATACATATCGAAAGAGAAAAAGTTAGGCATAAAAAGCCTAATAAAACATGTTCTATTACTTAATAATAGTAATGCATAAAACAATTATACACATGTAATGGGAAAGTGACATGGATATCATACGACATATAATAAACGTAAGTGCCTACCAAAGATTAACCTTGTTATGATCACACATCTCACATCAATAACCAAATCAAGGACAGGGCATCAACATATAATCCATTGGTGTTATAACAATTAGAGGTACAAAATGAAATTACAACCCCGTAATTAGCAGCTTGTTTTACCCCTATTTGACCGTAATTTATGTAGTGTAATTAAGATAATAGCACCGTTATTTTCACAGATTGATTTGGGCCTGTCCAATTTTATAACTTTTTTGTGCACTTTTTAGCAATCAATGTATCAACTAGAGCTGTCGAAAAGAAACTCAATTCGTCAACTCAAACTGAACCCAATCCAATAATTAACATATTGGGTTTATAGTTTCAACCGTTTTAATGAATTTGGTTAACTTATTTAACTTGTTTAATTAAATGAGTTAGCTTATAATTAATTTTTTTTACCTTATTTCAACCTGTCAACCCTTTGAAGAATATATTTATTTTTATTTTACATTTCTTAATTATTAAATACTAAATATTTAATATTTTAATAATTTTTTCTTTGTGTTTGTCTGATTTTTTTTAAACTTGAACAGTTATTGGAGTTTGTAACTTTTTTCTAATTTTATTTTAACAATTATTGGAGCGTGTAACATATTTGAATAGGTGTAATTTTTTATTTTTATTTTGAATTTTAAATTGGTCAACCCGGATTCCACTTGTTCATTAAGCAGGTAGGATTGAGGAAAAAAAATAACCGGTAAACCAGGTTTCAAGTTTCAACCCACTTAACAAACATGTGTTGAATTTGAACTTTTTAACCTGTATACTTAAACAAATTAGGTTGGGTTGAGATTTTCAACTCGTTTAATTAAACATATCAATCTTAAAATGACCCAACCTGACTAATCTACCCCTAGATTTAACGAATACATGTTTTTTAGAAAGTCTTTTTTTTTGTGGTTATTTCTATCCGATGTCTTCATCTTTCTCTAAAACTGAAGAACACAACCAATGCTTCAATGCATAAGAATTCGTCTTCTCTATCTAAAATGGACCTTTTTTGCCAATACACAAGTTCTATTCTGTTTTTACTTTTTATATAACTTTATGTTTTATAAAAAAAAAAAATGCATTTTAGCTTTTTCTTTATAAGATGACATGGAAAATGCCATTCAAAACCCAAATATAGTTTCCCATCTTACATACAAAACATCACCAAGTTAAATGAGTAATAACGAATATAGATTTAATAACCTGGCTTTGAAGTGTCATTAGTCTCATCAAGTATGAGTTTGACTCCATTGTTCTTGAGGGAATTGATAACAGCCCAGACCTTTGTTCTGTTCTTAAAATCTTTTTTCTCAAGTTCTTTGTTGACATCTACATGAATGCCTCTTCCTTGACCAGATTCAAGACCTTCTACCTTTAGCCTCATAGCCAACACCTCACCCACAACTGTTGCAGCTTTGGCATTACATGTTCTACCACATTCAAGTGATGTTTTTATAGATTGTTCAACTGTTGAAGCTGTTGCAACTATTCTGCCATTGTTCCTGTCCACTATGTTTGCAGTAACGTATTTCAATGACATGAATAACCTTAGCACGTATCTCTTTAACACTGTCATACTTAGAGACTGCAGGAACAACCAAGTTCAATTCTTGATTTTCAATATTCTCCTGAGTTTCTGAAATAGATAAAGAACAAAAGAGAAGGGGTATATATACACACATACTAGTGTTGGAACATAAAAAAGGATTCTTTATTCATTTTTCCTTTGAATTGAACGGCAAGGAGAGAATCGATAATTGTTCAAAAACACAGAAAGCAAAATGCTGATAGAAAATTATAATTGGACTTTCATCGAACACATGGCGTGCATTCAATCAGTTCACTGCCCGGTTGCAATCCAAAAACAGGCATAATCCGATGAAAGTAAATGATCAAATCCAAGATTTAGAGGAACCATACATTGTCACTGCATTCATTAACATATGCAGTTTTACCAATGAACAAAGAAAAATCCATTCGGAAAAGAGGAGAAGGAAGAACCTGAGTTCAGAAAAGAGACGATTTTACGAAGAGAGTGTTTGGCAAAGCTTATTTAACAGTTATGACCAGTAGACAGCAATTGAACAGATACACCATTGCAGTGACAGCAGGCAACAAACACATATGATTTCGACTTTACTGAAATCAGGGGAAAAAAATATAATCGAGAACAGGCAAAATGGAGTTGAACGAAAACAGTGGCAATTGAACACATACATCTAAAATTAGCAGAAATCATACATATTTCGATTTCAATAAACATATATGGTTTCGATTTCAACTGAAATCAGGGGAAAAAGGAAAATCGAGAGCAGCAAAATGCAGTTGAACAAAAGCAGAAAAAGATGAAGAAAATCGTACCTGAATCGTATCTGTGGTGTGCGACGGTCTCCGGTGCTGTGGTGCGACGGTATCCGATGATGGAAGTCGGCGGCGAGCAATCAACGGCGAGGAATCGGGAATCGCCTGAGGAGGCGACGAGAGAAAATGGAGGCTGCGTTTTTCCTTGTCTGGTGAAGATACGAAAAGAAATATTAAATTGAAATTTTTAAACATTAAAGATTTCTGAAACGAAGTGATTCGTATAGAAAGGTTTTTATCCACACACTACAATTCATGCTTTATGGAGTTGTACAATAAAATACTTTAATGCATAAATTGTTGTGTATGGACAATTCATGCTTTATGGAATTGTACAATAAAATACTTTAATACATAAATTGTTATGTATGGAAAAAATTTATTGTGTACAAATCAGTTCGATATTTCTCTAAAATTAGGATATTTGGGGATAAACAGGAAAATTAGATAGTAGATGAACATTTATTTGAAAATCCTCTATGCACTATACATGATCAAGATTAGATACATCATACGTGAGTATTAGTAATATAAGGGTCATACAAAAAGAAATATAAAATACCATTCAAATTGTTAACAGTCTTTTCTCCAAATCAGTGTCTAAGAGAAGGTCATATATATATATATATATATATATATATATATATATATATATATATATATATATATATATATATTAGCCGTTTACCCGCGCCAAGCGACGGGTGCGAATGGTTTGTTTCGGTGTGAAGTAGGTGCGAATAGTAAATAGTTTCAATGCGACGATTAGTTTCCTTTAGGTGCGAAGTAGTTCCTTGCGGCCTTTTGGCGGACTGTTTTATCAGATAATTCATTTCAACAGATAGTTTCTAGCTAGGTGTTTGGATCAATCTATGTTGGAGAATTTGAGGGTTAGTGAGTTTATCTATATTTTGAATTATGTTGGCTTAATATACTTAAAGTTGTGTTTAGTATTGACCAAGTTGCAAAATATTGTTAATTCTTTAATTCTTACAATCATTAATGGCTGATAAATACATTTGTGTCACTTCCTTGCAAATTGTAATTAATCACTTAGATGTTAACTCCAAATAATCGTAACATTTCTGAAACATTGACAGGTTTGATGGGTTGTGTGTTTGTAATATTCAACACGGTTTTTATTTTTAGTCTATGTTGAGTTGCTTTTATGAATCTGAAACTCTCATTTTCTTAGTTTTGTATTTCGATCCTATATTATCACAAAACGAAGATTCAAACTCTCATTTTCCAATATAGAAGATCACGTTACCATATGTGTAGAGGATGAAATAACAAAAACAACAATATATAACATATGCTCTCTTGAAAATAAATGCTATTGTATTTAAACAACATACCATACTCACATTTATTGAAAACGATGACTTGTGTATTCACGATACTTCCATAAAATTGGTACGATGTAAAGTTGTCCATGTTATATCCCTCCCCAAATGATGGGAGCCCAAATTTCATCTTGGCCAAATGTGTAAATTTAAGAATACAGTTAGAGGATGTGTGTGTGTGTGTGTTTGATATTCATAAACAATTCTTATAGGATGAATAGATTGAAATCATGTAACAACCAACTATTAAATCAGATATAGAACTTCTCATTTATGATATCATGAAACAATTCAATATAAAAAAAATACAAACCATGACATAATTAAGTATTCAACAAATTAAAATTTTATATAATAAAGTATCAACCAAATTAACAAAAAAAAAATTACAAAGTATGACACAATTAAGAATACAATAAATTAACAAAACAAATTACCAACCATGACATAGATAAGCATCCATGAAAGTTATTAGTGTCTAGAATTCAAAGTTTCAAAACCTAAAAAATGGTGGGCATCACAGTATAATACCACATCTCCAATTGCAACCAAACTGGAAGGAAGACAATCGTATTTCTACACCACATCACCAATGACTGTTACATACAACATTAAAATTTGTTTTTGAATAAGAAAGTGGATGCTCTATATTCGGTAGAGTAAACCATAAAAGAACAGGAAATAATGAGGGCTAACATGCATCAATTTTAGCTCGATTTAAAGATTGATATCCCAAAAGAACAACCCTTAATAGATATCAACCCAAATGAAATTATCAGTTCGACAAAAAAAAAGTTATAGGAGTCTAGTAAACTATATTTCAATATCATTTACCGTGAAGTTGAATCATCACTTAGTCAAATCAAGCCACATGATTCTAAAAAATCTTCTGATGTGTCTGTTGAACCCTTAAGGAAAAAAGGAACTCGTATCAAGGGTGAGTGAAAATACCAAAATGCCCTTAAACAGTTGAACCCAAAACACGCTTCAAGAAACTTAACAAAATTGAACTAATTTTGAAACAAAAAGTGAAGAATCATCCTAACTCTAACCATAATGGAAATCTTACTGGAAAATATTAACTTTATGCATATTTACTTGACAATGAAATCTTACCGGAAAATCAACTCACTTTCCCATTTTGCTTCTTTTCTTTTTAACTATCAGGTGTTATCCATATTTCCTTCTTTTATTCTCCTTTCAACTATCAGGTATAAGAATTTAGAGTATTAAACAAACCAATGATTATTTGTTCTTCAACTTAACAAATGAGAGGTTATGTGCTTGTAACGGGGGGTGGGGTTAGAATTGTCCATAATTGGCCCATGATGTTTAAGAGTCTTAAACTCTACAAGTCTGCCCTATCAAGAATCTCAACACCAATTCATGTTAAAACAAAATCTGAGAGAAAAGTTATAAGATAAACTCGTTTCTCTGTTTCTTACCCCTAGCCCACTCTAGAAGCATATAATATGTTTTTGGTTTTATGCTTTTATACAAACTCATAATGAGAAAATAATACAGACAAAAGGAAAGTTACCTAGTTCAAACGATCACTTAAGATATCAGAAAAAAGCTCACATCTCTGTTAAACCTGCATGCCTGTGACAATTACGTAATTTTTAGGATGGCTAAATAATGCTTTAGCATAGTTTTTTTTGTTTTATAAATCATGTTAGCATTAGAAACAAAAATGTCATTAATTATAAATATATCGGTACATTCGATGTGGCTTAAAAAAAATGAAAGACAGGGGCTTTTAAGTAAATATTCAGATTTAAAAAAAAGATTAAAATGGCCAATGTTTCCTCCTTCAATTCCAAAAAAATAGATCAAAACATCACCAAAACCAGCTAACAATTAAATAGAAACAATGGCAAAATAGAACAATCATTTAATTCAACCATTTCCAACATACCTGCAGAAATAGAAATCAAATCAACATAATCATTTAATAATCCAATGATGCAAATCTAACAATTACCAACAGATCTACAATAATAGAAATGAGTAAGCATCAATTCAAACATATAAAACCAAAACATTTTTATATATGAAAGTGAAGATTTTAAACCTAAAAAAAATACGTTTTTATAATAATCTTTGTATTCATTTAGAAAATCAAAAAACAAAAATCGATTGAAAATACGAAAAGGAAATTTCCAACTAAGGAAATAAAAAACAAAAATAGATGACAAATGAAAAACAAATAAAATGGGAAGATGCTTATAGGTTTACCCTTTGAAAGATATACGGTGGAACAACCATTGTAATTTCTTCTTTAGCTAACCCCTCCAAGAGCTGCAGAACACAAATTAAGACATTTTATTGAATAAATCATGAGTAACAAATTAATACATTTACCCTTTAGCAATCGAAGATCTTCATCCAAGCCCAGATTTGATAATGGTAGTTATATTCATCTTATTCAGATCCACAAATAGAATTGATGTGTGTCTATGTATATGAAAAATGAGAGATGAAGAGAGGTGGTTTGTGGCTGTTGCGGGTGGTTGAAAGTGGAATTTGTCTGGAACAAGCGGGTAGATGCAAACCATAGCGGTTGTTATGATGTCGTGAAGGCGGCATTGAGTGGCAGTGATGGTAGCGATGAGTTTGTGTGAGTGAGAGTACCATCGTCATATCTGAATAAGATGAAGGTAGAGCAACAGTAAAAAAATTCACAGGCAACCAGATTTTTATCAATCTCCATGTAAGTGGTTCTGTTGATACTACATCGAACATGAAAAATCAATACCTAGCTACAGATATACCCCATTTACTATTCTCATCAATAGGTATGAACATAAGTACCACAAGTATTCTCAATACCTTGAAAAAGAAAAAGAAAATAAATTACAAAAGCAAGATGAAAATCAAACCGAATTATCTTTTAAACTAATTAAACAAACTTACATGAAGTATTGAATATGAAATCACCAATCAGGGAGTACAAAAGAACCCGGAAAACTGAAATCAACATCAACAATCTGATCAGTGTTACCAATTCTCGGGTAGTCTGATAGGTTAGAACAATAGCAAAAAAACAAAGAAATCGCAATTGATTCTGTATCTATTCTTTTATCCCTAATAATCAAATAAATTCATACCAATTTTAAACCTGAAGGGTAGATGTATTAATTTGTTACTCATGATTTATTCAATAAAATGTCTTAATTTGTGTTCTGCAGCTCTTGGAGGGGTTAGCTAAAGAAGAAATTATTCTATAACTATGCAGCATTCCAAGAAATGTTTTTTTTCCAGTGTGCAAGAGAAAAAATTTCATGTACTTGTATTGCTGCACCAACTAATACTCTAGAATTAATGTTTTTCTGATCAAAATAAGTGATTGGTTTGATATAATAAGAGTGTAAACACCAAAGGGTCTACTGAGAAGCAGAGGTGATAATTTAGTTTAAAGCATTTGCTACAGATTATTGTTTGACATCAGGTATGTTGATACATCTGGATCATTTCAAACATATAAATATATAAATGCATCATTTTTAATGACGCTAAATTACAATCTTCTTTGCCTTTGTGTTAGCGGTCTCAATATGTGAGAATTAGGTCAAATAGAAAAAAGATTGGAAAAACTTACCAGGTAAATGTCGATAACGACTAAGGAATGAAGGAGATAGATGAATCAGAAATTGATGGCTTAGCATTGTCCTTGTCCTCACCTCTTCGCTGGTGTTGATGGTTAGGGTTGTGGAGACTGTTAGGGTTTCTCGTCATAATAGAAGGTAGAAGAGGGGAAAGAGAGGGGGTGGCAATGACAGTGGCTAGATAGGGTTTCAAAATATGGATCTTCATTAGACACACGTGCGATTGGGATTTTGAGAAGAG